ATTACCCTTCGTTAACAATTCACTTATTTTGGGTTGTTTTTTGAGGGTGAAAGAGTTGGGGGGGGGGGTAGGAGGGAGGGGAGACATAATAATTTGCAATTTAAGTGAAAGACAAAGGAAAGCAGTTTTTCTCTTCAACAGAAAGAGCAACAGCAGCAACAAGAAAACTGACGTTTATAATCTAGTAAGGTATGACAGTATGCAAAGCACATTCCCAATACAGAAGATTTATTGTTCTACCTCAAGGACAAATTATAACATTTCTCTAGAAACGTTATTAAGATCACAGTTCAAAATCCTTTGCTATTGGAAATAAACCTTGTGGCCTCAGCATTGAACAATTAACTGACGGTGGCCCTGCAAGACAGTCAAGAGGAGGTGAGGGGGGGGGGAATAATGGGTGTTCAAAGCAATGTACTGTCTATCAATCACACTCCCCTGACACCCTCCAAAACCGTACGTGGCATGCTAATTTGCATAACATTTCATAGTACTTAAAAGATAGATGCAAATACACATGTATAATGAATGTTTACACGGACAGACAATATTATTAATCTTCACACGACAATATATCTTTTGCAACTTGTGCACAGCAAGTACACCATCTTTAATAACAGCAACAGCAACAGTGCAAACAACAACAAACAAGTAATAAAATATATTATGACATGCGTATGGGTAGAAAATTCAAATATTTTGTAAGACCCTAAAATTTATACAAACAAATAAACAAACAAAACCCGTTTCATCATAATATCGTATCTCCCTCTCTTCGCCCAGAATTGATGTTGAGCAAAGAAAAAAAGGTTATCTATCTGACCTTAGGTAGCATTCTTAGATTATAAAATGAGAATGTTCTTACCTCAAAGGCAGATCAGGAACGAACGAAGGAAAAGACAGGACGGGGTATATTATTATCTTCAGCCTTTGCACACTGCTCTATCCGGTACCCGGCCTTCATTTTCGAGAGATTTTGCACTCATCTCTGTAGGGGCTGAACTGAACTACTCGTCTTGGACATATTGGGGATTCTGCACACGGTACTCATTTTCCAAAGTAACTATCTGTCTCACACTGTCTCTTTTCTTTCTCTCTCTCTCTCTCTCTCTCTCTCTC